GTCAATCGGAATTAAATCGGATCTTAGCGTCTGTATAAATTCAATCGTACGCATCAGCGGAGAAGTGCATAGAAAAATTTGACGGTTCGAGAAACGTACAACCGGAACGAACGCGAGCAAATCTTTACGCTTTCAAGTGACGCAGATACGAACGTACGCTCGCGAATATGCATAACACAGAGAGACGTGCTCAATGTCTCCTCAGTGTGTCGATCATGGTTTTGTTTCTTCTCGCAATGTGGGAACGTTCTTTCTTTTCCGTTACACCGGGCAGCTTTTCTCTCACTGCCATTGTAACGCGTTAGTTTCCCCCGGTTCGAATTTAGTATCGAATTTTCTTAAATATCTCATCGCGACATAAAGTGCAATGCTACGATAATTACTACGTACATATACACACACGTTGAGGAGTGATTTTAATCGTAAATTAGATCTTAAGCGTTAGTCTCGATAATTCGAAGAATTTATAGCTCTGACGTACTCTGTAAATGTATCATCATCATCGTCATTATTACAATTGTATCATCTTTATTGGTCGAAAAAAAGAAAAAAAAAAAAAAACAGGAATGTATATCACAATTATTATTTTCTACAAATTAAGGTATCGTAATAAATGAATTGCGTAATCTAACACAACAATAATAATAACAATAATAACAAATACAATTTGTTGTTGTTCAATGATCAACGATCAAACGCGAAAGTACGTCGAACTTTCATCTCACGCCACGACAAATTTATAACACGAATCGACGAATGGACTGACTTGCATGTAAAAAGCATCGTACAAAAAGAAACAAACAGCAGAATTTTCTATCCGTCGCATCATGATACAACATATTTCAAATCCAAAAAATTTGCGTTCATTTTGAGAATTATTCGCGTGTTTCACAAACTTAATTACGTTTAATTTATCATACACGTAGCATACGTCGTAGACGCAAGATCCAATTCGATCCTACAACCTTTCGGTCTATGCATTTACAACGCCACGAAAATTCGTGACGAATAATAATTCTACATTCCTAAAAATTAAAAGGTCGATACGAAGATGACGCGGCGTCGTAAAAAAGTAGACGACATTTAAACACGACGCATTTCGACGCTCGAACAAAATGTACAAAAGAGAATTAAGGCTTCGGTCGGACAAATGTAATCGAGAAAGCTAATCGGTCAATTTTTCTTCGCAAATGAAAATTTGCCCCTTTCGAGCAGACGAGCAGCGAGAAAAGATTCTGCCTCTTGCGAGGCAATTTCACGAATGAACGGTACAATGTCTATATACGTATAGATTATTTGCATAGATTATCTTCCAGGCCAAGTTCAATAAATCGTACACGCTAATAAAATAACTACGACGCCAAACTATAGAAATTAAATTCAACATACGTGTATGTACAAACTCGAAAAATTCTTGGAAATTACGTATGGATACGGTGGCTCGAAAACATGCCCTTTTCCTCCGGAGAATCGCAATTTCATCCACGCTACGAAAAAACATCATCCGTAAGTTTTCCTCGGTAAAGAGACTCGTCAGAAACGCACTTTTCGATGCGACGGAAGTAGAAGTTGCCATCAACACGCTGACACATAGTGGCAAAACATCGAAACTAATCGCTGTTACTCCGTTGCACGTTATTGCATCTTCCGTCTTTCACAAGGCATAAATCTGCTTCGTTACAAAAGGACAAAACTTTCGAAAACGCATAATCGAGCTGTAATTTTCGAAGACAGTTTTACTTTGCACGAAAGAAACGTTCGTCAGAACGATTCGAAGATTAAAACAAAATTTTGCAATCGTTTGCGGTGCGATCGTCCGTCAAAATCATAAACGAGACAATGCCGAGGTACACGCGGTTGGAATTTCTTACAACGAGAGGAACCGTGCAATTTATCATTGATATTTTTATTTAACGACAATCGTTCGATACCGTTGCAATTTAACGATAAAATTAACACGCTTTTACTTTGGAACATACGACGCGATGTTCGACGTTGCATCTATTCGCTTCTCGCGTTCCTCGTCTCTGCATTCTTATCTTCTTACGTTCCAACGTTCCTATCCACCCTGCGACTCTTGTTTCTACGCTCGTCGAATCTCTACAGGAACCACCCACAAACATCTCCGTAGCGACACCGATCTCGATTCATCGCCGAGAAACAGATATCCGTTCGTCGGTATCGTTCGTTCGTTCGTACATTC